TTAATGTCAGCATTTGGTGAACACTATAGAACTTTAAATAAACTATACTTTTAGCACAGTAAGTCAATGTCTAAATAATATGTAAAACATGTTTTATAGGTGTCTCAAAACCAAGCAGTTGAGAATGCCCAAGAAGAAAATTTACAGGGAAGGTCCTTTAAAGACTGTCTTGCCAGACTTTTCAGCTGGATAATGGGAATAAGCCACTGGGAACACCTTCAATTAAGGCAATAAACGTATGTGCGCTCGTGCGCACTGGTTTTGGAGTTGGGTTGCAAAATTAAGGCAAATACAGGAAAATGGGTCCTTCTGTGCAGGTTTCCATTAAAACCAAAAGGGATATAGAGACCACAACTTCTCGTTGTTGCTACTATTATTAATCTTTCAAATTTATACTGTTTTCACCCACTAGTGGACATTTAATATTCCTAAAGTAAATAGCCCTTAATAATAGCATTTTGTTTTTTGCTTGTTTGTTTTTGATTGGTTTTCTATAGCTTTAATTATTAATACATCCCTGCATTGCCTTTTTTTGCTTTTTGTTTTTTACATTTCCCCTATTATTTTACAAGGAAACAGTGATCTTTTTCAGGTGGCATAGTCATTGCAAATTTTCCTGTCAAAAATAAATACAGGTTTTTTAAATAACATTTTTTCATTGGAGTATAATTTTTGTAAATGAAAGCATAGGATGAAAATTAAATTCAAACTTCACATGTAGAATTTAGAGCTTTCAAGATGGGCATGCTATAGACTTTAGAATTTGCCAAATTTAGAATCCAAAATGACTTTTTTTAGAAACAAAATATTTGTTTTCCCATGAGACCCCTGCACTCAAGGACTAGACTCAGTATTTGGCTCACTGGTTTGCTGTGGACTTGAATGAACACTTTCTAATGGGTGCTTCGTGTAGCATATTCTGATTTTCATTGGTGGGGGGTGCCCAAGCTCTGTCATCTGAGCCATAAACCTCTGCAGGTGTAACTTCAGAAGGTACCAGGAATTGTGCTGATACTTTATGGGACTGCTTTCTTCTTGTGACTCTGAATTAAACTTTGAAGCATGAGTATTTTTGGTGTGCCACCTGTTTGTTTGTACTACTGCCTAATAATAAAATTTAGTATCCAAATTTAAGAGCTTGGAGGCAGAGGAGAGCAGGGACAAGAGAAAGATGGAAAAGGTTGATTAACAGGACTATTCTAATTAAGAGAAGTTCTGATGGTATGTTGGAAAGTAGGGTGGCTGCAGAGAATGATAATGAATTTCTATGGTTTTTAAAAGAAGAAGGGATTTTGAATATTTTCACCATAAAGAAATGATAAGTGCCTGAGGAGAAAAATATGTCTGTTCTGATTTGAACATCAGGTAATGTTTACATGTATTAAAATATCACACGGCACCCTATAAATATGTACAATTTTTATGTGTCAGTTTAAAATAAAAGGATTTAGTCAGATCAAAAGGGAAACCTACTGTCATGTAGTTGACCTGAAGGGAGTCAGTTCCTCCAGACAACTGATCTGAAAATATTAAACGCAATTCCAGTTTTGCATATTACTGAGAAAAGTGCTGATGGAGAAGCGAGCAATATCATAACTTCCTATATAAGAATTATGCCATTTATATATTTCAAATTATGCACTCAAATACTTTGCTAATGGAAGTTGTATAATAGATTTTAGAGTGTTACGGATGGGAAAAACCTGAAGCAATCATGTTACCCTTCTCTAGATTCCTTTGGGGTAAAATCATCCGTGTGCTAGAAGAGAATCTTAGTAAAAACCTACTGAAGGCTGGCACCGCACCGCAGCTCACTTGGCTAATCCTTCTCCTGCGGCGCCGGCACCCCATGTTCTAGTCCCGGTTGGGGCGCCGGATTCTGTCCCAGTTGCTCCTCTTCCAGTCCAGCTCTCTACTGTGGCCAGGGAGTGCAGTGGAGGATGGCCCAAGTGCTTGGGCCCTGCACCCGCGTGGGAGACCAGGAGGAAGCGCCTGGCTCCCGGCTTCGGACCAGCGTGGCGCGCGGGCCATGGCAGCCATTTGGGGGGTGAACCAACGAAAGGAAGACCTTGCTTTCTCTCTCTCTCTCTCTCTCTCTCTCTCTGTCTAACTCTGCCTGTAAAAAGAAAAAAAAAATACTGAAATAAAGAATCCATCTCCTTCATTTATGATAAAGTTTAATTTGTCTTGGACAATCCTGTTCTCTGTATGTCTCCTTCTTATATACACTAGATTGCCCCTAATTTTTTGCCTCCCTAGGCAGTCACCTCAATGTTTTATTTTCATCTGTTCAACTTTCTGATAACCATGACCCTAAAAATGACAAACTCCAAGCAGAACCATTCTAATTCCAGTTACATAGGAAAAGTTGTGTCAGAGATCAAAACTTAAGGGTAAAGTAAAATGGAGAGGGTGCTAGTCTAGAGTTAAAAAAGCAGGAGTTTCCCTTAGAACCCTGGGGTCTTAAAATGTAGTACTGCTTCCACATAAAGAACGGTCATGTGATTTGGTATTTGTGCACAGTGAAAGGAAGATCCAGTGGCCATTGAAGCAGATGAGGTTAAATCCCAAAGTCAAATGCCAGCATTTTGTAGCTCTCAAGAGTGCGCAACAGTGTATTCATTGGCTCATTATTAGGGAGTCTTTGTACTGCTGTAACAGAATGTCACAGACTGGGTAATTTATGATGAACAAAAGTTTCTTGGCTCCTATTTCTGGAGACCTGAAAATCCAAGATTGTGGTGCTGGCATTTGAGGAGAGCCTTCTTTTTGTGCCATCCCATGGCAGAAAGGCAAAGTAAGGCAAGGGAGAAAAAAGGGGAATAAATTCTCCATTTCCCAATGTACTCAATCCCACAATAATGGCATCAGCTCATTCATGAGGGCAGAGCCCAGGGTGTGATTAGCAGAAAGCTGGAGTCAACAGTGGAGCAAGGACTCAGATATAGTCCACCTGACACAGGATGTGGGTCTCCCCAGAGTCCTGGACTAATCCGCTCTCATTAGTCCCACCTCCTAACAGTGCTGTTTCCAACACGTTTCCAGGGGACACATTCAAACCATAGCATAAGGTGACCTTCCTTCCCTCTTTGGGGCATCTTTGATTTAAGCCTTCTGTCTCTTTGTATCATTAGCACCTTTTCCCCTTACACATGTCCAGGTTTAGATGACAAATTCTGTTGGCACCCTACAGTTACTGCATTTTCTTTGTCACTCTTGCCAGCTGGCATTTGTACACTTGGTTTTTGCCTTCTGTGTCAAGCTGTGTACTATCATCAGGGGTTAGTTTCTGGTCATTCCTTTATTAAAGTCCTTTAATGTTTAAGTCTACCTTCCAGGGTGATAATTGTAGGTTATCTTCCACAAATGGAATGAGCCTTATGGACCTTTTATTATCCAGCTCAAGGACAGGAGTCCTGGGGCCTAAACCAATGGCCTTTGGGATGCCATTTATTTTCTCTTAATTTTTAACTCCTGTCCTCTCCCTGTGACCCCTTCTTCACCTTTTCCCTACCTACTGGTTACTCTTGACTGATTAATCATCAATTTCTGTCTTAATGTCTTTCCAGCAATTATTTTATGCCAGGTCTTGTCCAGAGTTATGATGCTCATGTCAGTTTCATATGGAAACACTCTATATCAAATTGTATTTTCTCAGTTCACAGATTTCAAGTCCCCATGGGGCCACTAGAAGTAAAATTGATCTTTTATTTCCACAGTTCTTATGGTTTTTATTGAATCATAGTGCGTTATATAACTTTGCTAAATCTTGTTTGTCTTAAGGTCATGCCCATGCCTTTCTAAGGAAAACTCAAGAAAACTTAGAGAGGAGCCACCGAATTTCCCAACATTTTCATCTTGTATTTTTCAATGGAAAATTAAAGTGCTTAAGGTGCTATAAGGAGTTAGTGAAAAAAAAAAAAACCAGCATTCTTTCCTTGCTAGTGGTTCTTACTGATTGTGTTTTTCCTTGAGTGATAAGTGACTCAGACCTATAAAATAATGCCCCAAATTGTAGCTAATGATGTTCTTTTAGTTGTGGTTTAATATTCCTAAATTCATTGAAAATAAATTGTAACATCTCCTCACACATTCTAAAAATTTTTAGCAACACTTAACTCTTTAACTTAAAAAGTGCTAAGTATACATTGATGACATGTCATAACAATCATTCATTTTATAAAGTCCTATTTATGATGTCACCGTCTTCTTAAAACCAAGGCAAAAACTACTAAGAAGTCATTCAAAGCTGGTAATGTGATGGGGAGGAACATTTTTAATGTTGCTATTCCTGCTTGGGGCTGTCACTCATGTTTGAATCCTAACATAATCTCAATTGAGGTATGATTATGTAATATCAATTTTCAGCACAGGATTTCAACATCCATGATCCAGCCTGTTGCATGACTGGATCTATTTAAATCTTAGCCATTCTACAAGGTTTCTTTGTACACAATTCTGTTGCTTAAGTAAAAAGAAAACCAAAGGTCTATAAAGAATTCTATGCTTGAGATAAAAGCCAGAGATTGCAGTCTGGAGTCTGGATTCATGCATCAAAAATGAACTGTTTAAGTAGATTTTCATCAACTAACAAATGCTATTTCAGTCTGAGCATTTTACCACCTCATTCTACTCCATCTGTCTCACAGGGAGCAATTATTCTGAAACCTGAACATGGAGCATTAAAATTCCATTAACATTGAACAGAATATTAACGTGTCTGGCATTGCAATTTCTATCTCTCCGAATTTCAGTGTTAATTTTGAATAAAGCAGGTATAACATTTTAATCTATTTGGTTAATTAAGAATAATGAATAAAATATATAATTACCAGCCAAAATTATGTAATAACTCAGAACTTAGTTTAAGGACATGGTGTTTAAACATGTCTGAGCTAGTTTTCTTTATTAGGCTAATGATTGTTTATAAAGGCACTAAATATTTCACAGAGCCAATTTTCCCAAGACTCTGACTTTGCAATTCCTTTTTCTTTTTACAGAACCACATCACTGCCTTCGCAGAAGTCACATGATATCGAAGCAGATGGTCTTTCACTGCATTGGACATCGTCTCTTTTTACCATCCATTCATAACACCCAAAGTTTATGAAGTTGTCTAATGATTTCTATAATTTTAGTATCATTGTCAGCCTGTCTGTTGCCCCCACTAGACTGTGAGCTCCTCGAGGGCAGGACTCTGTCTTTACTGCACCCCCAACACCTACAGCAAAGTCTAACAGAAAGTAGGTGCCCAATAAAAACGTGATGACTGAATGAACAAATTCCTAAAGGACACATTCACTTTAGTTCTTCACAGAATCACTTGCAGTTGAGTTAAAGATATCTCCACAGAAACCATATTTGCTAAAAATAAATAAATAAATAAATAAATCCTCTACTTGGCACTAAACTTTTCAATTTCCCACATATCTCTTCACCAGTACCCTGTTTAATCTGAAGTGGACTTTGAAAGCCATGGGGGTCTTCTATATTGTTATTCAGCATGACATTATTTCCTTTCTAACAAATTTCAGTGTGTGAATTTTCTTTACTTTTAGAAAGTATGTTCTATACTAAAATAATGTTTGCACATTCTATTATGCTATATTTCACTTAAACTACCATTCATACTATACATTCTAAGACTGGTGCTTCTGCTTTTGAAGGGGAAAAATGCCAATTTTTACTGTAATAAGTAATGTATAAAAATTAAAAAATATTTATTTGGAATTTTTCTCCTGACACCTGTGGTTTAATTGTTGACTTGTAGGTTTTGAAAACAGGCAGTATCTAAGATAGTTAGAATGAAGAAATCTAGCAATGGTACCTTATTGAACGATTATCCATTGAAGACAGCATCTTAAGAGTGGTCAAATCTCCATTCTTAGGATTTTTCACTGGTCAAGATTTCACACTATTTAAATGGAAAAGATCCACCTCTGACACATATTTTAAATGACGCAAATGCTAGAAATATGGTTAATGTGTTCTGCTTTGCATTTGTGTAGTATTTTATAATTTACAAAGTACCATTTTATTTAATCTTGATGGTAACCCTGTGTAAATGTTAAGAGTGTGGCTTTATTTTTATAAATGAGAAAAAAAATGAAGCCAAGATAGAGTGAACCACATGCCTAGCCCCAAACTAGTAAGAACAGGGTTAAAATTTAAATTTAGGTTTTCTGATCCAAAACACAATGGTACTTCAAAAAGGTCATGGAAAATGGAAGTAAAAGGTAAGTTTATCTTGGTGCAAGAAATGCTGAAATCCATGCATGGTTTATTTCATTACATGGATTTTCCATGAAATTTTTGAAGACATCTTACATGCAACAGCTATGATATTGTTTTGAACACTAAGGCCTTTGAAGTGATGAGTACAGTGCTGGGTATCTACCTATGTTTTAGAAAATGGCATGTGAAAACGGAATTACAAAAGCTCTTAGTATTTTAAATGCTTATAAGAATAAACTCTTTTAAGGTATACAAATATAAACCTTTTTGACCCTATTATAAGTAACGAATGTCAAAGGGTCTAGTTGTGAGGCCCTCAGTAAAAGCAAAAACGGAATCAAATATCTCTCCTTCTATGGTCATCCCAGGGCCCAGGCCCCAACTCAGGAGAGATCCTAAGGGACATACTTTACATTTAGTCTGTGAAATTAAGGATGAAAATACCAGAATACAAAGCAAATGAGCTTTTTGATGGTAACATTTCAATCTTTAATGCTCTTCTGATTAACACTGGCTTATAGTTAATTTACTGAAATGATTTTTTTTTAGCTTGAAAGTACTAAAAAATGAACTTTCTTTATACTCTCCACTTTCAAAAGAAACCAGTAAATAAATATTACCAAAATCTTGTCTGTTACTTCCAGCCTGGATGTTACCTGCCCATTTCTGCCACTGTAGGAGTTGAAACACTTCTATTAAGGCCGAAAGAAGAAAATCTGTATCTCTTCCAATTTTAGATCTTTATAGAAATTCAATTCTGTTGGAAACTTAGAGCATGAAAAAGCTTTGAATGCCTTGACCCTCTTCGAAGACTTCTAAGGCAATAATATCAGTAGGGAATTCACTTAGTGGTAGTAGAAGTGAAGGGGATGATCTCATCGTGTCTCAGAAGGCAGAATTCCCAGACAGGCCTCTCAAGTTTGGTCAGTTCTATTGGTTCTATATCCATTTTTCAAGAACCCAATTAAGAATGGTTTTCCATACATTATATAGCTATATATTTTCAGCTATATATTATTATATTAGTGTTGTATCTTTGGACCTTGGCCTGAATATAGGAGTTATAAATTCCTCAGAAACTCAGTTTAATCCAAGACAAGAGTAAAGTCATATGTAATATTTAAGCTTCATGGATCCATGATTGTGCAATGAATGATCCTATTGAGAATACAGAAAGAGAAAAAAAAAACATAGATGTGACTATGATAAAAGCAAGCAAAGAGTCCTTAACCATGATGTTACTGAGAATAATGAAAACCGCATTTAAGAAAATATTAATATGTAAATATGTAAATAAAAAGTCTAGTAAAAGCAGATGAACACATATCTTTCTGATAAAGACATCACATTTTTAGTCTACTTACTTGGGGCCCAGATCAGCATACATTGGTCAACCTGAAAATTTCAGTAGTCTCTGTTTGCATGGCAGAAATTCTGCACATGTTTTATCTGATTCCTAAGATAACTTAAAAGGCTCTTTTATGTTAAAAGAGAGGTGAACCTTCTTTGACAGACTTTGTCTAGTCCACTTCTAACTGGGCCTCTCTTTTCTCAGGATCTATCCTAGCCAAATGTTTCAGTTACATTTAATGTAGTTTCCTTTGTGAAAGAGCAGTAGGGGAAGAAATAATTCTCTGCTGCACACTGTATTTTTCAAATAAAATTTTAAAAATTAAATTTAAAAATGTGTTTTGTTTTCTTCTCCCATGTATTGGTTTTTCTTGGGGTGGAGAAATATAGACTGCTTGTTAATGTGCATGAAGTTTGAATGCTCAGTGACTAGAGAATGTTTGCAAGTGGATTGCAATGGGTTGGATTAAACCAGTTTCCTGGGCAGCTAAGTGGCTGACTGCTTCCCATGGGCCGTCCTGAGAATCTTACCGCCTTGTTATTTGCAAACTGTAACTCCTTTGAAACTATTTGAGACACTGAGCAGTTTATGATCCAGTGTATGGTCTGCCTCTCCTGTATGAGTACAGCAGTAAAGAATGAATGTATATGATCTTGTTCCTTCCTCTAGAGCACAATGTATTAAGTTTTGATTGGGGCCAGCACTATGGCATGGCAGGTAAAGCCACTTCCTGCAGTGCCGGCATCCTGTATGGGTGCCGGTTCAAGTCCCAGCTGTTCCACTTCTGATCAAGCTCTCTGCTGTGGCCTGGGAAAGCAGTGGAATATGGTCCAAGTTCTTGGCCCCTGCACCCATGTAGGTGATCTGGAAGAAGCTGTAGGCTCCTGGCTTCGATTGGCCCAACTCTGGCCCTTGCAGCCATTTGGGGAGTGAACCACCAGGTAGAAGACATTTCTCTCTCTGTTTCTCTCTCTCTCTCTCTCTCTCTCTCTCTTTCTCTCTCTCTGTTTCTTTCTCTCTCTCTGTTTCTCTCTCTCTCTTTCTCTGCTTCTGAATAAAATAAAAAATAAATGAATCTTTAAAAAATAGTTTTGATTACTTGCTCTAAAATGTTACCCTAGAGATAATATCAAATGGTTCTATTTACAGTTTGCCAACACGGATTTTTTCACAGTTTGTCAGTCATGGACTTTCTAATAAATTTTGTGAATTGTGATTATTTGAGAACATTACATTGGACATTTCTTTTTGAATTTAAATGAACGAATCTCTTCTAAGGAGAAAACTAAGAGCATCAAATGCTTCCTTCCTGTCTCCTTCACCTTAGATTATAGCTGGTTCTTAGTCTATCATGATAGAGATTCAGAATGTGGTTGATGTTTAGTAAAAAAGAGTCTGAATCCCCAACCCAAAATGTTAGGAGCCACAGATGAATCATGGGACCTAAATCTTAAACTCAGGCTGCTTGTATGTGTCCATTTCTCAACACTGTTGAAACTCCTGAGACCCGGTGACTTCTACAGTTTGTTTTGACTCAGTTCCAAGGTCAAGGGGCTGCACCTAGTGATGGCAGAGGGCAAACTCCCAAGGCAGTGCAGAGCTTGCATAGGAAGAGAAAGGGAGTGCGTGTGTGCACACATCAATGCGTATCTTCTGCTTTCTCAGCCTCTCTTTACAAAGCTGCCAGGATTCTAACAGGGGTTCCGCCCAAAATGGTCTTGTCTACTCCTAATCACCATCCAAAGATTCTGCTTTTAAACGTTGTTGGATTGAGTTTCCACCCGCTCACTTCCTCACAAAGGTGAGTCAGTCTCAGCACACAAAACCTCAGGAGACCATCCAAGCCACAGCCACACCACAGCACCACCATCTTTCAAAGTCGAGGCCTTGCCTTCAGGGAGCCTCGTATAAGAAAATGCAGATGAATGGGCATAAAACTACCGCTGGTCCTCAGACGAAAACTGAAGAGTTTATGTCTCAAAGACACCATTCTTCAGAAGGGTAATATTAACAGATGCCATTTTCTTGTCTGTTTACTTTGATATTATTACATTTACTAATGTTTATATTTTCATTTTGCATTGAAACATTTTGGCTTGTAAAGGAGGACTTTTTTCTTCTCAAGAGAACAAATGTATATTTTTCATGGTATTTCTTTCAAAAGGAAAGCTTTCCCAAAATAGTGAGACTTTGAATATTAATCAGATTTCCCAACAGAAATTTCTCCTCGTCAAGGTTTTCAGCCCTGATTCATTCAGCATATTTTTAAAATTTTTTTGTTTTATTTTGCTTCATTTTATTTTTTAAAATTTATTTATTATACTAGTTTCATGTATTTCATATATACAGATTCAGGAACATAGTGCTACTTCTCACCCTACCCTTCCTTTCACCCATGTTCCAACCTTTCTTCCTCCTCCCTCTCCCATTTCCACACTTAATTTTTACAAAGATTTAGTTTCAGTTTACTTAATGATTGTAAAGTGAACCCTATACTAAGTATAGAGTTCAATAAATAGTATAAAGAAAAAAAAAAACTGTTCCTCAACAGTGGAGACAAGGGCTACTCAAAGTCATTGCATCTCAAAGTGCCAATTTCACTTCTATAGATTACCTTTTAGGTGCTCTATTAGTTACCACAGATCAGGGACAACATATGGCATTTGTCTTTTGGGACTGGCTGATTATTTCACTAAGTATAATGCTTTCCAGTCACATTCATTTTGTTGTTAACATCAGTATTTCTTTTTTTTAGTGTTGTGTAGTATTTCATGGTGTACATATACCATAATTTCTTTATCAGCATTTTTATCAAGGATTCTGTATTCCCAGATAATTTGCTATGTTCTGAGTAAACGCTGGTTTGAAAAGACAGACGGGGCCCCTGACCTTCATTGTACAGTTCAGGAGCAGGCTCTAGGAGGTCTGTTTAAAGTTGAAGTGGGAGAACTGGCCTGCAGTTAACCTACTATTTGAGTTCAAGCAAAGGACATTTTTATGGACTATTGCTATAGTCCATATTTTTAAGGACTATTGCTAAGATTAATTTAAAAAGCATTGACTTCATAAACAACATTCTGTTATGTGAGCATTGCCAAATTTCAAAAGTCCTAAAATGCTTTATAAGGGTTTACTGCGCCTCACAAGCCTACACTTCAGCTGAATCATTCTGGTCTGAGCTGAACTCAATCGAACATCTGTGGTCAAATTGGCAGTTCCAGTAGAACTCTCACACAAAGGGGAGTCATCTGGCTGTGGGTTAATCTAGGACAACTCAGGACAACTGAGCTTTTCTGTCTGCTGTGTCTCAAATCCCGTCAGGCTAGCTTAGGTTCTTTGGCAAGAGTTGGTCCAGAGAGAATGGATACACGCAAAGCACTGGCTTTGTCATGTGGTCATCTCATTCAATTAGCCAAGGGTAAGTCCCAAGTCCAGCCCAGATTCAAGGAGTAAGGGAGGGGCTTTAGGTGAACACAGATATGGGTGAAGAACAAACTTTTACCACTTCCTAACCTTAAACATGTTCAATCAGTAAGCCCTTTGAGTAGAGTTCTTCCATGTGCTGAGTACCAATTTATTCTGATATCTGCAAATACCAATAAAATTCAAACTTGTTTTGTCTGAACAAGGATGGGTACCTCACCGATCACCATGCCTATCCTCAAAATGCATTTATGATGTATTGGCTAGGGAATCGTCTTTCCAGAACTTATCTGAGAGCAACAAGAGATTTGCTGCAGCTTTTATTTAGAGACAGCTACCTAAGTTTTGTCCTGTTGGCAATAATAAAGCAATAATAATAATAAGCAAATGTGAGACAGAGAAGGAGGGAAACTAAGCAGAAAGAATAAGAAATCAAATGAAACAGAATATCAAGTTATGACTCACTGATTTTGTATGCATGGGTGTGTGTGTGTGTGTGTGTGTGTGTTTGCATGCACACAATTGCTTTGTACAATTTTGATTCTCAGAAATTTCAGTTATTATGGTTTAGTTAACCCAATCCTCCAATAGCAGTGTTCAAATGATGGTGTAAGTTTCAGTAATTGGATAAAGTACAGACTTTGTGGTCAGCTCCTAAGCTTATCAATCACTAGGTAAATAACACACATGACTGGTGACTAATCATGCCACTTCTCTCAGAATAGCCACTGATTGGTCACTGCACTTTTTGCCTTTATGCATGCACATACAGCAAAACATGTCATGTTGAGTTCTTATTTCTCAATAGTAAATTCACATGAAATTTTATAAAAATGAATGATTTAAAGAATCTTGTCAACAAAGGTGACTCTGCAACAAAGAAAAAAAAGATAATTCTAAAAATAGTGATCATAGGAATGTTGACACTGCCACCACCATCTGTAAGACTCAGAAATGCAGCCAGCAAAACAGTGAAAGGAAGCTGTGATGAGTGAAAGGGTTATGATGAGAAAGAAAAAAATGTCCTACAAGAAGTGATTCTGGTAAAAAGCTTCACATGAAAAGAACACTTGGAGATACTTCATAGCATTTAAAGTCCAGAGGATAAAATATCAGCAGCTGATCAAAACTTGGAAAGGAGTATGGAAATTAGCCAACAACACACAGAAAAGATACCCACCCAATATCCTAAGCTACACAAAAAGAATAAAGCAGGAAACACTGTTCAAATTTGTTTTAGTTAGCTTGGGCTGCAATTACAAAATAGCACAGCTTAAATAGAAGATATCTGCTTCTTAAAATTCTAAAAGCTGAAGTCCAAGGTCAGGGTCTCATTCAAAATGACTGAGATTTGTGTGTGGCCTCTCTTCCTGTTTTGCAGGTGGCTACATTCTCTGTTCTTTCATGGTGAGAGGAGGGAGAGAAAGATCAAGAGAGAGAAAAAGAGAGATGCAGACAGAGACAGAGAACAGATTCAGTCTTTTCTTTCTTTTAAGGACACTATTCCCATCATGAGGGCCTTACTATCATGACCTCATCTAACCCTAACTGTAGGCAGTACCTCCAAATACCACCATACTGGGAATTAGAGCTGCTATAAATGAAACTGAGAACACAAACATTGAGCTCATAGCAAAACTATGCTTGACGTTGTTTTTTTGTACAAAGAAGTGAAAGATTTATCAATGTCTATTTTACATTAAAAATTACTGAATAAATATTAACTGAGCAATTTTTTTTTATTTTCCCATACATTTTTAAACTGTCAGTAAGAAAGTTCCTAATTTTATGACAAAACATTTAAAGGTAACAAATTAATTGTAACTTTCTATCCTTTATTAAAATCACTTTAAATTATTTTAGCTTCAATTACCATTTTTATGAGTTCACCCTACAATGCAAAGGGAAGACTCCCTGGCTATATGTATATGTTGGGATGTTCATATTATAAACTATTGTCAAGTTATGACTCACTGATTTCGTACGTATGGTGTGTGTGTGTGTTACAAGAGAATAAATTTTATATCATACGAGATAAATCAAATGATATGGATTCTGTCTGTTTAAATGGGAAATTTATAAGACAGACTGACAGTATCTGGGCTCATATCCCTACCATTTCAGATGACTTTATATTTATTAGGAATACCTGATCGTAATCTTGAAATACTAAAGACACAGGAACTTAGATGTGTCTTAATTAAAACTCCAACACTGCTCATTTTAACTAAATATTTTTAAAAGATAACATTGCTATTTTAAAATGCTCATTTTTTATGATTGTTGGCTCTTTCTAATTTAAAAAAATTTCCAGAAACATTGTGTGGATAGCAGAAGCAATCATAAATTAAATTCTCTACTATCCAGATTAATCTAGATATTGGCACACAGAATTGATAAGGCTACTTACAGACCTATCAAGCATTTCTGTTCTCATTGTTTTAAGTTGAATTGTGTTCCTCTTCTCCCCACCAAAGTGTATAGGTGGAAGTCCTAACCCCAATAGGTCAGAATGTGTCCTTATTTAGAAACAGCGCACCTGCAGATATAATTAGTTAAAATGAAGTCATATTGGTGGGCTCTAAACCAATTTGATTGATGTCTTTACACAAAAGAGAAACTTGGATCCAAACATATAGACATGCATGGAAATGTGCACACACATGGAGAACACCAAATGAAGAGGAAGACAGATATCTACATGCCAAAAGATAGCAAAGATTGCCAGAAACCCACCAGATACTGGGTGAGAGGCATAGAACATAATCTCTGCCATGGCTCTTAGAAGGAACCAGCCATGATGACACCTTGATTTTAGCCATCTGGCCTGCTTTTAGACATCTAGAATGGTAAGACAATAAATTTATGTTATTTATGCAACCTAGTTTTTGGTACCCAGCCCTAGCAAACTAATTCACCTATTTACCTCCTATGTATTCCAGAATAATGGAAAAGTTTGAATCTTGGCTTCTCCACTGTCAGCTTTATGGTTTAGAAACATTATTTAAACCTAGCAATTTCTAGATCAGCTTACATGAGGTAATATCAAAACAGCAGACAATCTCCCAAAATCTCAACCCTGAGTAAGTGATGTTCATGTGAGGTTCATACTTCCTGACCATTAAATGTCATTAGTAGGCTCCAACCTATGTAACAGCCCTCCTAAATTGTGTTCCAGGCTAGCAGAGCTGACGTTATTTGGAACATGGCTCTAACCGTGGCAGAAGGAAAAGAGATGAATGGAGAAGTGTGCCTGGATCTGAAATAGTCCATTCCAGAGTCATACATCACATCTGTCCATCTTTCATTGGCCTAAGAAAACTGCAAGACCATATTTGAGTGCAATAGTAGGAAAATACCAGAAATAGAGAGAGACAGAACTGTAAACAGTTCCAATGACCATCTGTCAGAATTGAGATGATCATAAATTGAGATAAATTAATGAAATCCTTCACATATTCGGTTACCAATGTTTATCTGGGATCTCCAATGGACTAGTGCTGTTCTGGATACCAGCCAGATAGCAATGAACTAAAGAGAGTGTCTGCTTCCCAAGGTTTTCATTAAATTGGAGGAGTTAGCAAAATTAAGAACATAAATTTGTATTATAATTTCAGATACTTGTAAGTGCTATGAAGAAAAGTAGAGCAGGGTAAGGATGTTGAAAGACATTGGCAGGAGACAGAGACGAAGTAGTTGGTGTGGGTAATGAATGCAAATTTCCTAGCATAGTGATTACAAGTGTAGGCACCCAATAAATGGTTCTTTTCTTTCCCCAAAATACTCCCGATAATTTGCATTAACAGCAGAAGAACCAAAGCGAATTTTGCAACAACTTATTATAAAAGACAGAAAAAAGATTAAAATGCCTAATTCTGGCAAGAATGCAGAGTAACTGATACAAACATATATTTCTGCTGGCAGTGTAAACCCCTTAGGAAAGCAATTTGGCATTATATTTCATGAGCCACTAAAATGATCATAACCCTGACGCAGTAATTTTATTCCTGTGAATCTATCTCCAGAAGTAATATAATTTAATAATCACAAAGATGATGGTTGCAGTGTTATTTATGAAAGCAAAAACAATGAATATATAGGAATTGGGGAATGGCAAAATGGATTATGGCTCACCAATTATATAGAATATTATGTACTCATTAAAATGGTAATTAGGCACATTTCATAGTGACAGGAAAATGTTTATGATATAATTTAAGATAAAATTTACCCTGTAATTACTATTATGTAAAAATCACATATGTAAATGTTTGAGATTAACGGAGAATGCAGAAAATTGAAATCTAGAATATGCAAATTTGTTGTAATTAAAAATACCTATTTCAGTCATTCCTACTACCAAATGTTTAACATGTACTTCAGTAGTATTGTTTAGATAATGAATTTCAAATTCTAGCTAACAGAGACAGGGAGAGCAATGCCTCCCCAGGTGATCTGACCTTGACTGAACTATGGTTCCTGACTCAATCTTCCTGTCAATGCGGACCATGACAGACAGCAACAATGTTTCTCTCACTCACGTGAATGATCTTGGTTTAATTCTCAGATCCTGGCTCCAGATCCAGCCCGAGTCATGGCTGTTGTGAGCATTTGGGGGGTTAACCAGCAGAAGTGAGCTCTCCATCTTTCTGTTCATCCCTCTCGCTGTCTCTTTCTCTTTCTGCCTCTTAAATAATTACTACTTCTACTACTACTACTACTACTACTAAGGACTGTGAATTAAGGCTAGTGGCACTCTTATGGTTACATATTTTCCCCAGGGACAAACGTATAGTGACATTTTTGTGGCTACAACTTGAGGAAGGGAGGAGTGTTCTCCAGGTGCCCAATGGGTAGATATCAGGGATGCCGCTAGACTTCCTACAATGTCCCAGGCAACAATAGGACAACCCCCATAATGAATAGTTATCTGGACCCAAATCTCGACAGTTGGTTTGAGAAATTTTGGGGTAGCCATGAAAAAAATACAAGCTCTATAGTACAGAAACTCAGCTTTTCCATCACCAAAAGGATGGCCCTGAGCTCAGCTAACCTTTCAAATTTTCATTTTCCTAAATTTTACTTATCTTATCTCACAAGATGGCCCTGAGAGAAAAATGGGAGATATAATGGGAGGGAGAAGATAAAATCTTCCATACAATATCATCACTATATATATTTGATAAATCTCCTGAAATTAATGGCTTAAAAAAATACAGAGACAATTACCAAAAAGCTTGTGCATAATTACTTTAGAAAGTATTAATTTGTCTTGACGCCCCACAGAATATAGATGAAAGCTATAACACAATAATGATGCTTTACTGGCATTTTCCATACAAAATAATCCAGTTTCCTTGATCAGTTGTCTGCCCCATCTCATGTCTTGAGTTGCCTGTCACTAAACCGCTGCCTATAGCTATAAGCACAACTACAATCTTTGCTGAACATTGAGGCTCCACCACAAACCACCATTTGTTTCTCCCTTGTTGTTGCTGATTTATTACCCTATGTTCCCTCCAGTACCAAGCAGTATGTATGCCATCTATTTCTCCATTGGAATTGCTGAGAGTAACCTCAGTCAGCCTCGTGGCTCTCATGTAGCTGAAGGGAATGGCAGAGAAGCAAGTATATCCCAGTAGCAATGGCACACCCAGTGCCTATGTCTCGGTTATAATACCATTGTGCAATAAAAAGGTTTTACCTTCTCGGTAGGGTTCCTTGGAGAAAAGACTGAATTTTTGGCTGTGGAAAGGAAATATAAAAGTTGAGCCGAGAATAGCACAGAAGTGACAAAGACATACATGAGGGAGGAAAAAAAAATGTGTTTTTCATTGTCTAAGGGAAGACTCACGGCTGAGGTCCCTAAAATGAAGGACAAATCAACAAGAGAAAGCATACAAATTAATTTAAATCTTATGCAACATGGGGGACATTAGAAATGAAGACCTAAAGAAACAGAGAAACCTGTGTATTTTATGATGAGATTTGATGACAGATGGGCAGTCATGGGGAAGGATGAATGAACAAAGGGAGTTTGATTTAATGGTAGGAAATCAATGGGGCACTCAGAAAGGTCTGCTCATTCAGATTCCGTCTAGTATCTCTGTGTCTTTCAGGATACAGATGCTCCTTTCCACTGAGTTGAGGGAGAGTACCACTGGTTGAAGATCTAATGACCTATTTCCAGCAAAATGGATGAGAGAAAATGAGTGTGATCTTCCTGCTTCTTCTATTTGTTTATTTTTTTTTTCAATTGCTAATCTCACAGTTTGGAGTAGTATTTCCTGAGTCCTGTTACAAATGACAGGAGCATGTCAGAGACATATGGTGCCCAACTGCAACAACTTCCAGTGGCTAAAGATGGAATTATCTGAGCAATGAAATAAATAACGTGGTATTGCAATATAGATCAAAGCTTACAATAAATACTGATAATCTGACAAGGATATAAATAAATGATTAAGTAAATTAATAAGTATAGGAAAATAAACAAATCTGTGCAGTACAATATCTAAATAATTTGGGTAGATAATCCCCACTCCATAAGTGTGGCAGATGACTTAAACTCAAAGAGAATGGTCTAGAAAAATAATAACCTTGTAATACGGAAATCTGCCAAACACCACCTCAGCCTGTTCACCAAAATTAATATTAGCAGTAATAAATCATGTTTATAGCATGTGCCCTTGATTTGATGGGATGAGCATGGCATTTTACCACTGTAGTCTCCCAAAATTATAAACCCAATTTAATAATAAGTAAATCATCAGCTGAATCTCCACGGAGAGACATTCTGCAAAATACCTGACCAGTGCTCCTCAAAGCTCTTATGGTCACACAAAGCAAAGAAAGTCTGAAACACTGTCACATCCAAGAAGAGTCTAAGAAGACATGCCCAGTAAATGCAATATGGTATCCTGGACGGGATCCTGAAAGATAACAAGGTGTATTAAGCCTGTGATTAGAAAGTAAATTGAAAGTACGCTATTATGAAAGTTAAAAGAAAAAAAGAACTAAGGCAGTCAGAATAAATTATGCACTTGAGTTAATAATCGTGTGTCACTGAGCTCATTAACTGTGAAAAATATGCCATGATAAATGTAAAACGTTCCTAATGGAGTAAACTGGGTGTGAAGCATCAGAATGGTCTTGTACCATATTCAAAATTTTTGCAGGTCTAAAGCTATTCTGATAAAAAGATTATTGAAAAATAGTTCGTAGTATATTAAAACTTCAGAAATGATCCTTTTCAAAGTCTTAAGTCCAAAAATCTTCTTGTCTACTCACTACCTGAAGTCTTCTGAAACTGACAGAAGATAAACTTAGAGTTCCAATTTCTTTAATGTCCTGTTTTCTGCTATCAATTGTTCACAGAAGTGCCTGATATCTACTTGGCAACCTCATTTTAAGTACTCATTTACATATTGATTAAGAGCTAGATATATTTGAGATATTTAATGGAACAAGAACAATATTGAAGAGAAATAGGTTCATACCTCTTAAAAGGATCTGGACTTGCTGAGTGGAAAGGGGATAAATCTAAATGAGATATGGGCGTAGGGACCACTGCTGGTCCAAGGTGGAAGACCATTCTGGTAGGCAACCATGCAATACTCCAAAATCTTGGAAATATAAGCTAAGTGGTAATTCTGAATATTATGCTGTCTCAAAAGAACCCACTGTGGAGCAGTGTGGATTCAAGAGACAAAAAATAGGACACATGATCACAGAATAAGATAAAACTTAAGACAGAGCCAGCTTGCAATTGACATTGAAAGAAGCTACCAGCAGGTGGCAGCTCAGAAACTAGTTGAATCTCACAGCCTTCCTTCACCATCTGTAAAGAAGAGCTGGCCTAAGTAAGTCAGAGTCTCAGGTCTAAAATGACCAGAATATTTATTAGGCTTATTTTCTCAACAGGCATGAAAACATGAGGATCAGGATGTGATCTGATTATCAGAGGGAGCATATTGATTATGATCAGGCCTTAAGAATGAAACTGAAACCTAGGTCTATTATTTGATCAATTAGCCAACACCGCTGGAGCACGTAGGTGTCAGTCTATTCTAAGCAATTCAGAAATATTAATTCACTATATTCTTCTAAGGGATTGTAACTTTTTATCATTTTATTCTCAGTGCCTATAGCAGTGCAAGTTCATAATTAGACGTTGATGAATGTTTTTGGAAAGAAGAAAAGGTAGAGTGAGAGAAGGCAATGGAAAGAAAAAAGAAAGAGGAGAAAAGAAGAGAGAGAGAGAGAGAGGCAGAGACAGAGAGAGAGAGAAGGGAGAAATGATGGGGAGAAAGAGGAGGGAAGGAGAGAGGAAGAAAGGAGAAAGTAAGAGTGGGAAAAAAAGATGAAAGAATGATTGCTACTCCCAAAAGTTGAGATGAAATCTACTTAAATTTCTCTTGTCTGCAGTGCAATTGGTTTTAGGGGTAGGACTGTAGCAGAGAATGTAAGTAGGGGAAATAAGAAGGTTATACTGTTTTTGAGGAGTGGATGGAAAATGTAGTAACCAAGAAATGGCTAACCCTTACTGATCATTCACTATATATCCACTATTGCATTATTTATGAATCAGCCGATAGAATCCCTACAATCACCTTTATTATTAATAGTATTATGCTCCATTTTACATATAATGAGAGTAACATTTAAATTTAATAGCGTACAATAAATAATACAGCTAATAAGAAATATAGTTGAAGCTCAAACACAAGGTTGAATCTCTAGTGGTGATTCTCTAGTCTTAGACACTATGCTAAACACTAGGCTAAGAGCAGACAGAAACTGATAAAGTGGATCAAAAAGGGGATATGCTTTTGAAGCACTGACTGCCATGCCCCTTTTAAACAGTCATGTCTATTTTTAAATACAAGAATCTAATTCTTTAGAATCCAATGTAGTTAACATTTGTAAAAATGAGTGAGAAATGTTTCCAGTTGGAGATAAGCTAAAAGGCCCTTGGCATTTACAACATATATTTCAATACCTGCTTGAAAATATTGCTCATGGAATGCAAATAAAAGCCATAGTGATGATTTACCTCACTCCAGTTAGAATGCTATCATCCAAAAATCAAGCATCAGATGCTGGTGAGCATGTAGAGAAAAATTTATCCTACTACACTGTGGAAATGTAAACTAGCCAACCGTTGTGGAAGACATTGTGGAGAGTCCTCAAAAATCTGAATATTGCTGTACCATATAACCTAGCCATTCCATTCCTGGCGATTGAACCAAAGTGAAGGAGACCAGCATATGAGAGAGTTATCTGTATCCCCAGGATTATAGCAGCTTGATTCACAATAGCCAAGAGATGGAATCAATGTCCATCAGCTGATTACTGAATAAAGAAAAAGTGGTATATATACATGATGAAATACTACACAGCCATAAAAAAGAATGAAATTCTGTCATATGCAACAAAATGGATACAACAGGAAATCAGTATGCTTAGTGAAATAAGCCAGGCGTTAAAAGACAAATATCATATATTTTCTCTGATTTGTGGTAGCTATTATATAGAGGACCAAAAAAAAGTAATGCATATAAGTGGAACCACATCTTGAAATTTGATTATTGATTGTAACCCTTTTCTATACTCTTGCAGAATTGTGGTCTTTCTACTTTCCACTTCTTAAATTGTTTATTTAGTGGAGTATTAAGCTTAGGATTATAAAGAAAGTTGAAAGTATGTCATCACAATAATCAAAAGAGAAAAAAAAGAAAGAAGTAGGAAGCAGTGTGGGTTATACAATTATGAACTTAAAACTGTATATATATAAAATACATTAAATCTGTTCTCTTTTTCTTTAAAGATGTATTTACTTTTTATTTGACAGGTAGAGTTTACAGTCAGTGAAAGAGAGAGACAGAGAGAAAGGTCTTCCCTCCGTTGGTTCGTCCCCCAAATGGCCGCTATGGCCAGTGCTGCACTGATCCGAAGCCAGGAGGCAGGTGCTTCCTCTTGGTCTCCCATGCAGGTGCAGGGCCCAAGCACTTGGGCCATCCTCCACTACCTTCCTGGGCCACAGCAGAGAGCTGGACTGGAAGAGGAGCAACCAGGACTAGAACCCAGTGCCCATATGGGATGCCGGGGCCTCAGGCGGAGGATTAACCAAGTGAGCCACAGCGCCAGCCCATCTGTTCTCTTTATATAAGTGAAAATATTGCTGATGACTGTGAGGAAGAGGATATTAGATGAAATATATACAACAGTCTGAAACTAAAATAATTTTAAAGTCAATTAATATGGCAGAAATTTCAAGAAACATTCAAATGTCATGCATATTTTTTAACAGATTTTTTTTTCTCATCAGTGTCTCTCTTTCTCCCTCTTGTCTTCAACTAATCCCATCACCCAGAAGGGAGAAGAAGGCCTTCATAATAGTAAAATATTAGCTAACCCAAAATTCAAAAATCAAAATACTAGATAGAGTTCTCCTTTAACCAAGAATCAAATTGCCCTCAATTTTAGGCACTTCGTTCAGTTCATCCCATTTTTAAGGATTTCAGAGATGCACTAATGGACTAAGAATCAGAATCAGAAAGTCCAGGAGATGGCCAATCCCTGAATTCTCATACCCTTTTCCTTCAACCTTATCTCTTCTCCAATATTTGTTTTAGAAACAGAGCCAGGTCATTATGCTTTCTCTTCTCTTTTTCTCTCTCTTTCTCTTTCTCTGTGTGTTTGTGTGTGTGTGTGTGCTTATAAATTTGTTTATTTTATTTGAAATGCAGAGTTATAGAGAATGAGAGGGAGAGACAGAGAGATCTACTATCTGTTGTTTCACTCAACGAATGGCCACAAGAGCCAATCTGAAGACAGGAGCCAGGAGCTGCTTCTCAGTCTCCCACATGAGTTCAAGGGCTCAAGCACTTGGGCCATCCTCCACTGCTTTCCCAGGTGCATTATCAGGGAGCTGGATTTGTAGAGGAGCAGCTGGGTGTCTAACTGGTGCCCACATAGATACCTACACTGCAGGTGGTGACTTTACCCTCTACTGCACATTACTGGCCCCATGCTTTCTCTGCTTGAACTTGGTATAAAATTGTGCTTTTTCGGAATCATCTTAGATCACAAGTGACAATTTAGTTTGCAAATAAATCTGAACCAAATGTATGTTTGCTACGTTGGTTAAGACCAATGGTGAAGCTGCATCCTGGCTTGGTGGGAAGGAGCTTAATAATGGATTAGAATTACCTGCCATGAATGCTGAGGGAGAAACAGTCGGAGATGTTGCCACGTTTGGCAGTGTTGTCCCAATGTAAGCTTTTATTTCAGTTCAATCTCAAGAAGACACTATCCCCCTGTAAAAACAATGTTAGAATTAACCAAAATCCCTGCAAGGCTTGAAAACCTGCTCTTCCCTACTTAGACCCCTGGGTGGTTCTCACAGTTGTGGTGTGAGTCAAAGTAGCTCTCCCAGGCCAGGGCTGTTATCTCTAAGCCGAACCTGCTTCTCCATATGACTAGTCTACCCCAAGATCAACAAAATGTCCTAGGACATAGGCCTGGGAGTCTGCCTGGCTCTTAATATTCCTGCCTTATATACCTGAGTCAAGAAGCTCCAAAAGGTAGCATTTTTATAAATTATCATTGGTCCATTTTGTCAGAATGTGATCTCCTCATCTCCCATTTTCTATAGCAGAAATTGCTAATAGATCATTGAGTCATTCATGCCATGCAGCCTGGATGCTGTTCCAGAATCTGGCTGACCTCATAATCCAGGGAGGAGGGGGAAACTGTGATCCACGCATGGCTGGAAATGAGATGAACCCATCTCCGCCACCACCAGAGGAACAAGTGTCTGTGAGAAGCTGCGATTTATTCTAGAGGCATTTTGTCTACTCTGGAAGGAGACAATTTCATTCTAGAATTAGAGAACATCAAAGTCTGTGTCCTAAGCCTCCAGTCAGGAGTGAACTCAGACAAAATTATGAATGAGACTAAACTCATGTGTACCTTGAAGTTTCTCCATAATCCATACTGCCTAGAGTCTCTTGCCATAGTTCCTCCTCTGCTTGAGCATAATTTTTTTCTTTTCAATTACTTCCTCTACCTCAAAAGTTAATATATTTACTCATTCCTTCAAAACTAAACTTCCACCTTAGTATGTTTTAGACATTTAAGGAACATTAGCTGTTAGAATAGTGGGGTGGGGGAGATGCCAAGAAAAAAATTGTCCTTATTCATTATTCCAAATAGGTCATGAAATACCAAATCTTGTAAACTTTGCTTACAGTGGGCTGGCGCTGTGGCATAATATGGTAAGTCTCTGCCTTTGGCAGACCAAATGGGTGCTGGTTGGTGTCCTGGCTGTTATTCTTCCTGATCCGGCTCTCTGCTATGGCCTGGGAAAGCAGTAGAAGATGGTTCAGCTCCTTGGGACCCTGTACCTGCTTGGGAGACTCAGAGAAAGCTCCCCAGTTCCTGGCTTTGGATTGGCCCAGCTCTGGCCATTGCAGCCATTTAGGGAGTGAACCAGCAGATGGAAGATCTCTTTCTTTGCCTCTGTGTAACTTTACCTTTCAAATAAATATATAAGTCTTTTAAGAAAATTGCTTATAATAACAGAAGGCAGATTTTGACTATTTAACAACTTAGAGAAGGTGGATATGAGATAAATAGCAAAATCCAAGTTAGGGGCATTGTGTTTTAAATAAATAATTCTTAAATCCAATTACAATAAGCCTGCTGGGACATTTGCTACAAAGGAAATGGCTTCCAAATAATAAGTGATAACTATTCAAGCTACAAAACCAATGTATTTTACAGGCATATTGTCACCAGATTTACAAACCTGAAAAGCAGATGCCCAGTTTATTTTGAATTTCAGGTGAAGAATTTTAGTATAAATATGTCCTATGGAATATTTGAGACATATAAAAATTATTCACATTCATCTGAAATTCAAAGTTAACTGGACATCCCATATTTTATCTGGCAACCCTAGATGGCTATCTCTTGTACATCTGACACAAAACACATTTTTCTGTCTCTTGCCCCACATTCAGATCCCTAGTTCCTTTGCTTTCTAATCCCCAAATTTATCTGGAAATTTCCAGGGCACATTTCACATTTCATATATATCATTCTCTCTCTCTCTCTCCCTCCCTCTCTCTCTCTCTCTCTCTCTCTAATCCTCCCATATTTCCTCTCTTCCTCTTGCCAGGATAGCCTAGCCATAAAATTAAGGCAGAAATTGAGGATCCTACCACTTCTAGATGGCACAGCATCTGCTGGGTACTGTTACACGGCTTCTCACAGACACCTGGGCTGCTTCAGTTGAGCACACTGCTCCCTCTGGGCTCCACATATTCTCCAGCTACTACAGCAAGCTCTGCCAAGGAGTGCACATCCATCAGGTACTATCTCATCCATTCAGCTGTGCCCCCTTTCTCCAGGGATTGCCATCTATTCCTGATGCACACTGGCATTTAAGCCAAAGCACAAAAGCTTAGCTGTGTTCTCTGCAGAAGGAAACAGAAGGAATCTACAACTGCACGATTTGTACTTTCTCATACAAATTCCAAATAAGTTTTCTTTGTGTTCCAGTACTCTACACCGCAAGGTAAGTGTAGTGATTTATTTACTTGAGATGTAGAGAGACAGAAATCATTCCCATCAGCTGATCCATTCACCAAATGCCTGCAATGCCAGGCTGGGCAGGGGCTGAAGCAGGGGCTAAGAACTCAATCCAGATGTCCCAATTACTTGGCCAATCACCACTGTCTCCCAGGATCTGTACTGGTGCGAAGCCAGGGTCATGAGTTGGAACTAGGTATCAAACTCAGGTACTATTATATGTTTTAACCACTAGGCCAAATGTCCTCCAATAAACAGCACTTCTAAGAATTTAGCTCCAGTTCTCCATGCCCTGTGGTCTAAGACCAGCAGAATTCCACCTTGTCCATAGTCATTATGTATGAATCGGACTGGGGATTGAATCTGGGGAAGGATCCAATTGTCAGACCTCGCCTCGTTCCTCAGAACCTGCCTACTTCCCTGTGAAGGCGGCGTTTATTACTGGGTGAAGCATGTTTATTTATTCTCCCAAGATGAACTTTCTCCCAGTAAATTCCACACTTTCCCAGGAATGACACCTGCTGGTGAGTATTTCCTCATGGGTAATGAATAACCCAATGAGAAAGACATCATTGTCTCTGTTTTGTGATAAGAAACCTCAGAACATAAATAACCACCAAATTTGAGAAATAAGTCTTAGTCATATTGCCTGAAACTCTCCTCCTCATTAACTTTTATTCTCCCTCTCAGACATGCAAAGGTCTTTCTTGCTGTTACATTTCCTGTTTCCCTGGCCAGAGAAAGATTGCTCCCAGTCGTAGCCCTTATCATCAAATTGTCGATCAAACATCAGCCTTCAGAGAAGCTTCACTTATGCCTTTCTATGAGACTTTCACAGCCATGGGTCGTCTCTACCAAAAATCCATTTACCCATCATAGCTCTTATCAAGATGCCCCACCTTTTGGTTTATTGTTATGTATCTATTATTTCCTCCCCACCAGAATTTATGGTCTGTGGAAGAAAGGACCTCGACCATTGCTCTATCCCTAGAAACTAAACCGATATCTGTTGAAAGAGTAAATGCACTTAAAAACCTAAGTCTTTGACAGTGCTCTATAATTAAATCCAAGGATAAAATACTATTCTTTTTAGCTACTGAAACTATTTGAGAAGGTACTTTACAAAAACACAAACATACATGCACATACACATTTTACCAAAGTCATTATTAAAGACCAGAGACTCTGGTGGGACAGTTTAATATTGAAGAGAAAGAAAAGGACCATGGGAAAGATGGCTTAAGTGATCCAAAGTAGAATTTGACTATTTGGTAGGATCTCAGTAGAAAATCTATTTAATCTAATGCAACTGGGATGCTCGTTCCTTAAGTCTCAGCCTCTATGATGATGATGATGTTTCTCAAAACTTATGGTCATGGTTAAAATAAATAACCCCAATCCCTTTAACCATTCCTTAGGAGTCCTATTTCTTCTTCTCTATTGGATACAGTTAAGATATCTCTGGCAACTGAAACTTCATGTTTCAGTTAATGTGTGCAACATTAATCAAGAGACTGTAAACTCAAATGCCTGCAAATCCAGAAAGATAATAAAACACAGTGATGCTTTGTTCTCTATTTACATATTTCTCACTGCATGAGTGAATGGTGCATGCCCAGATACTAGAAATGTGACTGCTCTGTGCTGCTCCTGTGAATTGTCTCCCCCGAATTCAGATCATGAGCTGCTGGATCATTTTTATTTTATGAAAAAGCCAGAAATATAGATTTTCAGTTAAAATGTGGAATTTTTAGCTGGTTTGATTTTTTACAAGCGATATTAGTTCATATAAGCTAAGTCTGTATACCCAATGCAACTGACTTGCAGCTGATTTTCATCTCTAAGATAATGATTTTCTGGTTACATTTCTCAAAACACATGCAGCCTTTGGCTTTCTAAGACCTTTGAATATCTGTGCTAGGGCATATTAGTCTACCAGAAATATTAGTCCAAACGTGTGGCTTGGGGGCAAACAACATGTCATGTGGTACCCTCAACTCATTATGATTACAGCCCTTTCTTCAAGCTCATGTAATTGCCTAGGGTGGTCCCGGCAATTGACAATACTGCATAATATCAGAATAACCTTGCCTTTCTTCTGGATCATACATTCATTTTTATTAAATTTTTTCTGTGTTGTTCTTTATTAAACATTTTCTTGCTTTCTTCAGCTTGCTGGCATTTTAGTCACCCATATAGCTTGCTATTTCATCAAATAATAATGATTCCCCGGGGCCAGCACTGTGGTGTAGAGGGTAAAGCTGATGCCTACAGTGCCGGCATCCCGTATGGGCCCCAGTTCAAGTCTTGGCTGCTCCAATTCCATTCCAGCTCTCTGCTATGGCCTGGGAAAGCAGTGGATGGCCCAGGTCCTTGGGCCCCTGCCCCAATGTGGGAGACTGGGAAAAAGCTCCTGGCTCCTGGCTTTGGATCGGCGCAGCTCAGGCTGTTGCAGCCATCTGAAGAGTGAACCAGTGGCTGGAAGACCAACCTCTCTCTCTCTCTCTCTCTCTCTCTCTCTCTCTCTTTCTCTCTCTGCCTCTCCTTCTCTCTGTGTGTAACTCTGATTTTAGGTAAATAAATAAATCTTTTTTAAAAAGTAATGATTCCCAATTATCTAAGGTGTAGAGTGTTGGGTCCTTTTTCATTCAGGGTTCTTCCTTAGCCTGCAATCTAATATATCATGCTGAAATCTGGCTCATTCACTATACTTGAACAGCATACTATGTGTTCTATATCTTAACTATTGATTATTTATTAAAATTATCCCATAATCCCAGCTGTTCCTCTTCTCTAGATCAATTCCTGTCAGTTTAATTTCTCTTCTTCTATTACAGTAGGGTTCCAATAATTTCCTGACTACAACTTTTATTCCCATTTTGCCAATCATTCACACTGCTACCCAAATAAATATCTTTTTTTATTTGACAGGTAGAGTTATAGACTGTGAGAGAGAGAGACAGAAAGAAAGGTCTTCCTTCCATTGGTTCTCTCCTCAGATGGCCGCTACAGCCAGCGCTGTGCCGATCCGAAGCCAGGAGCCAGGTGCTTCTTCCTGATCTTCCACGCAGGCACAGACACCCAAGCACTTGGGCCATCCTCCACTACCTTCCTGGGCCACAGCAGAGAGCTAGACTGGAAGAGGAGCAACCAGTGCTAGAACCCAGTGCCCATATGGGATGCCGGTGCCACAGGCAAAGGATTAACCAAGTGAGCCCTGGCACCGGCCCCAAATAAATATTCTAAAGTCACTAATTTACTCAGATAGATGTTCATAGCTAATTGTAGGATAACATTTTGCACCAAAGCATACAATATTATCAGAAATTAATTATTTACAGTGACTTTTTGACCATTCTATATACACCACTTGCTTTCATACCTCTCTGACCTTGCCATGTTCACACTCTGTAGCAACCCTGATCATTCTTTCCTGTCCTCTAGATCCAGTATATCAAAGATCAGTTCTATTTGATTATTTCCTTAACAATCCCTGATAGTTAGTCCCTGAATTGCCTTTGCTTTTATTCTGTAGTACAGCATTCAACATATCTTTGAAGATTTTTGTTTTTTTCTCTTATTTGCCTGGGATCATAAAGTAGACGAGAACTATGTGTTGTTCATTTATATTGATGTACTTATTCAAAAACTGAAAGAATAAAATTGTACATGTCCATTAAAATATTTTTGCTATATGTATATAAGAATTAGAATTCAGAAAACAGACGTGTTTTCAAATTCTAGACCTGGTACTTACTAACTGGGTAATTTTAAGCAAGTCAAATTACCTGGTTTGGCCTCATTTGGCTTTTGGAAAGGTACCATCAAGAAAATAAAGAGCCATTCCAATGACTTGGAGAAAATATTTGGAATACACATACACACACAAATACACATACACATAATTAATTTCTGATAATATTGTATGCTTTGGTGCAAAACATTATCCTACAATTAGAAAATATTTGGAATATACACACTTACACACACATATACATATGCATACACACATAAGCCAAACTTCTTGTATACAGGATATAAAAAAGGATCCTTTACAATTCAGTAAGAAGAAGACAACTCAAGAAAAAAATGGAAAAATGATTTTAAAACATACTTCATGAAACAATATGTAAATGGAAGTGAATAAGTCAAATAAAAATAGTGCATAATCCATATTTAATGTATATATAAAATTTAGAAAATGCTAACTAACCCATAGTGACAGAAAGAAAATCAGTAGTTTCATGAGGAAGGATGTGAAGGCTACAAAAGGATGTGAGGAACTTTGGGGGCATGATGAATATATTCACTTTCTTTATGATACTTGTAGTTTCATAAGAGTATACAAGTGTCATTCAAATAAAATTACATAAGCTCTATCTGTACTTGCTATGTAGTTCAATTTTATCGTAATAAAGTTATAAAGATGGATAACTATTGCTAAATGATAGATTAAAAAGAAAAGCTGATAAAATAATTTTAAAAGAAAATAATTCCAAGTTACTTCCTGTTTTTAAATTAGTCTCATATCCAATTCCCAAAGACAATTTGGAATTAAATCATCATAGCTGCCAACCAGGATTAATTAGTGACATGAAGTACAAAATAGAAAAGATTAGACACCTTGCATAGCTGAAAACCTTAAGCATGGTGCATGAAGTGGATTATTCTTGTTTTCTTAATGGATTTTCTGCTGATTTTATGAAAAGCTAACTGAATATCATGAGGGTAAGAATGACATTTGTAGTTGGAAAAGTTGTGATGCATCAGATCAGTAAAT